GCAGCGGGCCGGCAGCAGGCCCTTGTTGGCCAGCGCCACCTGGTAGTTGGTGTAGCGCAGGATGCGATGGTGGACGTCCAGCTCCGTCAGCGGCCTCGGCTGCACGCACAGGCCCCCGCTCCTCTGCAGCGCCAGGAGGCGGGACTGCACCTCTGCCCAGGACACTGAGCCGAGCTCCCCCTGAGGAGAGGGGACGGCTGAGAGCCAGCGACCTGGATTCCTCTCCACAGTGGTGCCCACACTCACCGTGACCAGAGTCCCTGAGTGTCCTCCCGTGCCCACCACTCTCACCCAGTGTCCCTCAGGCATGACACCTGTCACCTTCCGCTCTCTGCCTTCTCGCCCTCCCTTTACCTTGTCTCTAACAAGGGGAACCCTTGCTTCCTCTCACCTGCTTCTGAATTGTGTTCCTCACGCCCCTGCCACTCCTGAGGCCATGAGCCCTGTGCTTCCCAGGGACACCTCCTAAGCTAAACTCTACGCCTATCTGAGCTCAGCTCCTTAAGAGCAGATTTTCCTGAGCACCCCTACCACACACACAAACACAGAGCCCTACATGTAGAAGGCACATCCCAGCTGCAGGTAACAGGGAAATCCCTCTTCCCCGTTCCTAGGGTACCCACCAACCCAGAAGCCTCACCACTTTTTACCTCAGCCTGCTTTGAGAATCCCAGCCCCATCCCATTCTGTCAGATTAACCTTCCTAAGACAATGGCCACATCTGGCCATGGAGGTGAGGGCTGTCAGATCTCACTCCGATCTCATCTGCAAACCTCATTTTAGCCCAGTTTCACCCAGCTTCCCCAGTCCAGCTTAGTCAAGTCCCTCCAGGCCAGCCTCTCCAGTCCATCCCAGGGTCTCCCCTTCCCCTGGAAGGAATAGGGGCAATGAGGAAAGAAGGAAGGAGAAAGAAGGGTCAGCTGATTCCCAGCGGAGCAGCGGTCCAGCTCCTGATCTTCCCTGCCTCCACCCCTGCCCCCGTGACTCTTCCCTGTGCTATGGTTTGTGCTCTCCTACTCAAAGGGGCTTTCTGAAACCTCTCCCTTTTGCTGTACAGGAGAGCTGTGCAGAAGGTTCTGCACTTCTGAGGGGAGAAGGTAGCCTCTGTGCTTTGCCTTAAGGAAAGAATTTGGGTACAGAGCCAGAAGGAGTGTGAGCAAGGCAGGGAGGAGAGAAAGAGGAAAGCGTGACCAGGGACAGTGAAGGGGCCTGTGAAGTGGCTTCCTGCAATCAGGGGGAAGGCCAGAAAGGGAGGCAGGATTACCCACTGGGGACTGGAACTCTCAGATGCAGGCTGGTGGGTCAGTCTCCTCACTGCTGCCCACAGAGTTCAGTGTTTCCCCCTCCCTGCCCAAGGCTTGGAATGCGTCCCCACCTCCTACCCTTCCCAGCCCCATCCCAATCCCCCCTGCCCTGTAAAGCCAGATGACTGCCCTTCCTCTAAATACCCACTGCCTGAACCACAAGCACGTGACCATACATCTTCTATAATCATCTAAATCAACTAAGCTCCACCACAGTAAGGGCCTTGTGTTACAAGTGGTAACCCACCTCCTAATAATATTCTGGGCCAAGGGTAGGGGTCAGTAAGTCCTTCTGCCCTTTTTCCAGTAGGTCCTTCTGTCTCTGCAGCCCCTCACTCCTCCCCATCCTCTTCCCCTCTGACGTTGTACCGCTCCTCAGACATGCTCACCCAACTCACCGGGGGAATGTGGAGGGCTTCCCTGTAAAACACTTGGATGTCCCAGTAGCTGAAGAGGTTGCAGACAGAGCGAAGCAGCTGGAACAGCCAGAAGGCAGTAGCCAGGATCAGAAGGAAGACCAGCAGAGAGCTGGAGTGGATCCTGTGTCGGGTGGGACAGACAGGAAGTAGGGGCCCGGTAGCAAGGGAGACCAGACTTGGGGAGCGATGGGGGTCATTGAGAGGGGACCCAGCCAGGCCGGTCGTTCTCAAAGTGTGGGCCCTGGGGCTCCCCAGACCCTCGCAAGTATCTACAAGGTCAAAACTTTTCAGATATTAAGGTTTTCTGCCATTTTAATTTTCATTCTCTCAAGAATATACAGAGGATTTTTCCAGAGGCTACATGACATCACATTCACAGTCAATGGAATGTGTGCTTGGACATTTTCAGGTTTTAAAGCTGTTCTCAGCTTGAATCTCAAATAAGGTAAATAGAGATAGATTTGATTCTAATAAGCAAAATCTCTTGGGAGTTGAGTTCTCAACTAATTTTAAGTGTATTAAAGGTGTCCCAAGACCAAAAACTTGGAGAACAGCTGGTCTAGACCAAAAGACACAAGCATCTGCTAGTCCCCTCCATCACCTCCCCCAGCGGCTGTCACTCACCGCTGGGCACACTGGGATGAGGGTAGGATGGCATCCGACAAGGTCACTTTGCTGTGGAGCAGCCCAGGTCTTGTGCGGTTATTTGGTTGGTTGGCAAAGAGAACATTGTAATCCACGCAGCGAAGGAGGAAGGTGGTGAAGGTGACGATGAAAATGAATTGTCTGGGACGGCGAGGAGTGCAGTGGTCAGGCCCAAGGGCCAGTGGGCTCCAGCCCCAGCCTCCAGACTGGCCTGGTTAACCCAACCTGCTGAGCCCTGGGGCTGCCTGGGGAGGCAGTCGGGGAACTAGAAGCAGCAGGCGCTACTGAGGAAATGAGAGGAAGAGTTTGGGGCCAGGGACAAGCATCTCACCCCAGCTGGAAGACATCCTCCAGCAGGATACAGGCAAAGCCGCTCCTCTGGTGGTAGCTGTAGATGTGGCTGCCCGTCAAGAAATAAGCCTGAGGTGTGATGATGGGCCTTTCCTGAGGACGCCTCCCCCTCCCTCCCCCAAGTCCCCAACCCACTGCACCCCTGGCTCCCTGCCTCCAGTGCCACTGCTGCCAGGCCAAGCACAAAAGGATATCTTGGTGAAGAAGCTGTCCAGGTTCTGGATATGGTGCCAGGAGCCTGGGCACAGAGGGAAGAGCATGGGGACTCGGCTCTCACCGGGACAATTCTCCATGTCCTCAAGCTACTGCCAGAGGCCTAGTCCTGAGGAAACTCTGGAGCCCCCAGACCCTCCCCAGCCCCCGCCACTACCCACTCACCTCGGAGTCCTTCAGGTACATGAAGCAGGGGCTGCTGCTCCTCCCCGTGGAGGGGTGAATCTTGGGACCCCTCAGGGTCACAGTCCTCCAGCCGCTCATAATCCTGCTCAGGGATCAGAGGGCCTATCCGAAGCCCAGGAGGGTCCTGGGGGCACCGGCATGGGGGAGGGGGAGTCACCGAGGCCAAGGGTGGGGCAGAGTGGGAACCCCAGGAGGGGGGTACAGAGATGGGTGTCATCGCAGGCCTGGCCTGCATTGTGGGGGTGGCTGGGGTGGAGATGGCACTATGGTGAGGCTGAGAAGCCCCTGACACCTGCACCGCTGGGCAGGGGGGCCCCAGGGCTGAAGGAGGAGCCGAGGACGGGGCACTTCTTGTGTGAGGGGCAGGGGACAGAGAGAAGATGGAGACCCTCCCTCCCCCAGGCCCCCGACTTGGAGGAGGAGGAAGAGGAGGCAGTGGCATGGGGAGGAGGGGCACTGATCCAGGCCCCAAGTCTCCCCACCGCCCCAACCGCCCCCTGGTCCCCCCCCAACCCATTCGCCTCACCATCAGGCCAGCGGCTTCTCCTGAAAGCTTGGAAGGATGGGAGATGCTGCAGTTCCCGCCGAGGTCTGGCTGAGCAGGGACTTCAACAAGACCAGTGACAACAACAGCCTGGTGACTCAGGTGGGGCAGGCCTCAGGCGTCCCAACTCGTAGTCACCTGTCTGACCACTCACACCTCTTCCAGGGCAACCTGCAGCCAAACCTCTTAGGGCCCCACCTCTAGCCTGGCAGGGACAGCAGCTGGGGAGGCAGGAGCTGAAGAACATCAGATCGAAGGAGATCCCTGCTGTTCCATCTTCAGACTCCCAGTGGATTTCAGGGGAGGCCAGAGGGCAGCCGCCAATAACAAAAGCAAAGAGAATCCTATTAAGGACTATAGGACTCTGGGGTCAAGATAGTAAATCTTTGATTTCTTAAAACCTTATCTCTCCTCCCTGCATATACACACACAGAGTGATCAACAGAGAAATGCTTTAAGACAAAAAACAGTAAGAAAGAAAAAAAAAGACAAGAAAGGCTGTATGTTTTGTGTGTGTGACAGTACTAAGGAAGGGAAAAGGGGGAGACTGCCTGACTTTGCAACCAGGTTGGGGGAAACTAAGGAGAGTAAAATAGGAGAGGTAATTATCTTGGATGTGAGATGGTTCTGGGAAGCTTACAGTAGAAAAGTGGGGCTTCTTGGATGCGCCGCTATGTTTACTTGTTTACTTATTTATCCTCTTGAAACCCTCTCCCCTAAATCCTGATCCAGTTTCTGGGGCCTTCTGAGAAGCATCAGGGTTGATGGCAGAGGGCAGCTGAGGGCATGGAATTTGGAAGGATAATTTCGGTGCCCCATGAATGAACTGACTGAGTTGACTTCCTTGTTGTCACCTCAACGAGGAGGCGGAGGCCCAGGCAACTGGTTTGGTGGCTTGTCCAACGCCATTCTTGAGTCCCTGAATCATCAGGCTACCTACTGAAGGCCATTCCAGAGGTGCTGACTCAGCCACCCAGGTGTCAGAGCCACCAGGGCTTAGGCTCCAGGGCTGCTGTAGAGACCAGTATGCAGGAACCGGAGAGAGAGGAACAGAACATTTCCCATGTTGTCCACCAGAGGAACTTAGAGGCAGTCGAGGAATTGCTCACAAAATTTGAGTCCAGGTACACCTATTTTTTCCTTGCGCCTCCTTCCTGTGAGGGGCATTGTCACAGTAGCTCAGGACTTGCATAGTTTTATCCCCTAGCAGGAGGCTGAACTATAAAAACAGGATTCCTAGTGCCCAAAATGGAATCCCACACTGCAGAGGGGCTAGGAAATTTCCATGATCTCTCTGAGATGTCTGTCAAGATGGGTTACAAGGGGTTTCCTCTGGTCTTTTCCCAACCTCATTCACCCTGAGATACTCCACCATACTCACTTTAGGACTCTCCTATATCCCTCCGCACCCAGCTCAACCTCAGACTAATCCTGGCACATTTTCCTACCGAGTTTCACTCCAGATTCATCAATGGACAGCCTTCCTACCACCACCCCCAATTCAAGTCCGTTTATTATAAAGGAGACTTTTCCCTGCCAGGCATTTGGAGGGGAAGGAGGAGACGGATGAATGAGACAGAGCCACTACCCAAAAGGAAGTCACAGCCCAGTGAGGGAGACAGCTATGCAAACAAATCATTACACATAAGAAATAAATAAGCACACAAAGGTACAAGAGTTGTGCTTTGGCAGCCTCAGGCAAGCGAGCCTGATATACCGTGAGGAAGGCATCTGCTGGGGAGACGGAACAGAGGCCGTGCGGTGATAAGCTACAGTGCCTCCACACCAGTGGTTCTAAACCATTGCGTAGGGGGAAGCGTATCAGAATCACCAGAGGAGTTCTTTTCCAAGTATAAGTGACTGTCGTCCCCGGAGCTCTGATTCGCCCGGGGAGGAGTGTGATGAGCAACGTGCACTTATTTTGAAAAAACGCTCCAGACGATTTTTGTCCCTTCGTCACTCAGAACCAGCACTCTACCCTCCCTCGGGACTCCAGGACGTCTCGAGTCCGCTAGAAGCACCCATAAGAGAACAGCCCCGAGGTCAGCAGCTGACGCGTTACTATGGATACCCCGGGGCGGGGGGCGTACAGCGCACACCCTCAAAACGTCACTCCAGAGCCTACTCCAGCGGCGGTCACAGGACGGTGCCACATCCTGCTTGGCCCCAGGCCAGGACTGGGGGCGGGTTATAGGCGGCTCTCTCCAATCACAGCTCCAGAAGAAGACGAGCGAACAAGGTGTTCTCCAATCACAGCTTGCAACGAAATTGATGTTTCTTTCCGCCAATCATCGCCAAGTGGCGAGGGGGTTGTCGGGATGGGGGCCGGAGCCAACATGGAGCCCTCAATGGGATAAGGGTGAAACCGCTGCTGCTGGCTGCTCCTGTTCTCCCTCGACCATGCTGGTGCACTTATTTCGGGTCGGGATTCGGGGTGGCCCTGTCCCAGGCAGGCCGCTGCTACCCCTCCGCTTCCAGACATTCTCGGCCGTCAGGTAAAAAGGGACAAACCTACGGGAGCGCGGGCCATTGACCTGCCGGCAGGGCGTGGGGCCTGCCGGGAGATAGAGTCCCGGGCTCGCGCGAGGCCTGCTGGGAGTTGTAGGCTGGCCCGGCCCAGAGCTGAATGTCGCTCCCTGAGGGATTGGCCTCAATTATTTATAGCGACGACCCAGGTACCAGCAAGAGACTCGGCGCGTCTGTATCAGCACGTGTGGGCTGGACGGAGGGGACGCTCCGGGGTGGTGACCACTCCCGACCTGTACTCCCCACCAGGGGGCGCCATTTTGCACGGATGTTCGGGCCCCCGTTTCCTGCCCCTGTCCTTGTTCTTGGAATTGGTCTTGCGATGTGGACAAAAATTATCGGTGTCCAGAGTCATTTAGTATTGCTGTTGTTCCCAAGATTCAGTGTGAAATGGTTCCTAAATCTGGATACTTTCAGCAGAGTTAAAGAGTCAATTTAGTCAAGTGTATGTATGTGTTCTTGTATGTTGGCTCTACACGTTGGTCCTAAGAGGAAGAGACACAGGTGGGAAATGAACAAGGACTCTGAAACGGCGACTTACTGGTAAATACTTTATGAAAAGGGACTGATTCCTTTCTACTCCTGGAGTGAAGAACCTGTGGGCCAGGCAGGCAGCAGATTCGCAGGGGCGGGTGGATGTGGACTTGTGCTGTATGAAAAGCCTATCTGATTGATGGAGGGCAAGAGCCAGGCGAAGTTGAAGCTACAAGTACCGGTGCTCAGAACTAATCCGCCAGTTCTTGGCAGGGACCGAGTACTGCTTAGAGCCTTAGTTTGGAGAAGATGAGAAAAGCTGGAAAGTGGCCATGAAAAATTATTCAAAGGCTTGAAAACAGTCTTTAGGAAAAGAGTAGGGGTGTTGATATTATTTAAACCAGAGAGAAACCCAAGGAAAGCCATCAAATAATATTCTAGTATTTGTATGTTCATTGGTGTTTTTCAGATGTGCAAATCACAATAGATCATGAAGTGAATTTAGTGAGTACAAACCATTTAAAAGTGAATATGATGGAATATGTGTTAAAAAGAAATTAGAGAAACTAGTTTTGTGAAGCATTTCAATTTTCTGTGACATATTGTGTTCACTATACTGGATTGCAATGTAAAATGTATTCCTTGCTGTTGTCGCAGTAAGTTTAAAACTTTGCAAATGCTGCAGTAGCGAGTCAGGTCAGATTGTTCTGCATTTCTAATGAGGGCTTGCACTCAACAAACATAACTATTGGCTGAATGATGTTATGTACCAGAGCTCTGCTAACTGCTAGGGATACAGTGGTGAATAAGATAGAGCTTCCTGCCCCTCAAGGAATACATAGTCTAATGGGGAAATGAGACATTTACCCAGTGCAGAAGGAGAGTGAGCTTCTGTATCTAAGTTTTGGATAGACATAAAGTGCACAGTGGAAAAGACAGGTGGCTAGGGTGGGGGGAGGCATAATATAAAGGTAGCAGAGAAGCCCAGGCCTCACTGAGACAAGGGAAGGATGAGATGGAGTCTGCAGTTAGGTGGGTCTGGAAATTTGAAAGACCCTCATAGTAAAGGGAAAACCTCTCATCTGTTTGTTTTGAAGCCTTTCCCCATCAATAATCCCATTTGGATCTTTGAGCATCCTACCATATATTCTCTCAGCTGAATAACTTCTGCCTCTAACAGGCCTCTCTATAACCACACCTGTCCTCCAGTCTCCTCCCCTCTGCTGTGATCTTCAAAATGCAAATCTGATTACGGACCTTTTGCCCCCTCAAGTCCAGGTCTTTTAAAAGGACTGTAATGACTCCCCCTACCCAGCCCCCCACCCATGGCAAGCTTTGTCATTAGCTATTTGTTCCCTCTTACCTGCCCCCAGCTCCAGACACACACACACTAAAGCTTAACCACCACGAGGGTAGTTACTTGGTCTGTCCTGTTCACCTCCTATTCCCTGTGCCTCAGAGCAGAACACTGGCGCACAGTAGGCCTGCGACCCTACATTGCCACCTATAGATACCAAAACTGCAGGAAGGAGGCGATCTTGGCCTGTGCAAGATGACAAGATACATTATTTGGATTTTTATTTCTTTTTCTATCTTCAGCAGACAGAGGAGTCTGTCACCCTTTCCTTCTGTGCATTGTCACATAAGCACTGTAGGCCTGGAAGGGAAGAGGCTGATGGGGTGTAGTAAGCTCAGAGGACTTGGGTCTAGTCCTGGCCCTGCGACACATCACCTGAGCTTATTACACAGGGCAGAGTAGAATGAGCCTGGATCCTGGAATCCGACAGCAGGGTTCCTCTCTCGTCCCAGTTCCGCTGCCTGGGAACAGATTATTTCAGTTTCTCAGCCTCACGTGATTTTTTTCATCTATCAAGTGAGAATAACAGCGGCCCCCTCCCAGGGACGCGAGGGTCACAGGCCACAGGCTGGTGACAGTGAGGCGGGGGCCGCGTTGGTGATGTGGCAGGCACTCTCCTGCTCTACCTCTCTGAGCTGCATTCACTCAGAGCTCCCATGTTCTCTGTGAAAGGAGTGCCCTTCAGCTCCAATGTCTCATGATTCTGAAAGAGCAGGG